ACTCTTGAAAAGCTAAGCAAGCATTGAAAAGAAAATATGAAAAAGAGAAACACTCGTTTTTGTGAATACGGTGTAGAAAAAAAAATATGAAAACGAATGCTTGCTTGGTAGAAAAATATTGAAAAACAAAATGAGTTGTGAAACATGAGTTGTAAAGGGTTCAAATGAGGAACTTGTGAAACAAAGTTGAAGATGTGTAAATAGTTGTATAGTGAATGTCTCTTTTGCATCGGAAATTTCGTTTCAATGGCTTTAGATATATCCCTTGTTTGTTAACCCGACCAAGCTACAACCCTTTAAGTCCTATGTGATCTTGAGCTTCCATAATTTTATTGTGAACATTTAGATATTGTATAAATTATATAGTATTGCATTATTCGTCATTTGAGTGAATTTTTGTCCCACGCTTGCATGCGTGTTTTTGCTTCAATCCTTTTTCGAAGTGGAGTGTTAGAATGACATGTCATGAGATTTAGTTGTTACTTGAAGCATTGTGTAAATTGTTCTTAGAATTTAGTTCTTGAACATTATCTATTTTGAAATTGTGTAATTGTTTGCCTTGTTGCACATGTTGTGTATTTGAGCTGAATATTTTCACTTGGATTGAATTGGTCTTGAGCAAATCCTCCTTTTTGTTTTGAGAGGCATACTTTGCTTGAGGACATGCAAATAAGTAGTTGGGGAGAGTTGTTAGATCCCAATTAGATTAGTTATTTGACTTCTTTTTAGTAGTATTTTTAATCATTTTTATCTAATAGTATTTGATTTAGTGGTCAAATTTGTTTACTTTCATTTTGATGTGATCCAAGTGAATGGTGTGTGTAATATTGCTGTTAGTGTGCAGGATTGACACTAATAAGAGCACCTTGGGAGACAAGACAAAGCAGCTTGGAGAATGCTGCAAATCAAGGCATTCGCCTGGCGAAGCTCAGCGAGTTCCAGCGAATGTTCGCCCGGCGAGTGTTGGGGAGCTGGAGCGAATAATTCAGAATTAACTCTCAGACTCAAATGATAGGAAGTTCGCCAGGCGAAGGTACCAGCGAAGCTTCGCTACCTTTCTCCTGGCGAAGGTGCTGACGAAGAAGTGGTAGCTTTCCTCATGCAGATTCCAGTAGCAAAACCACCCAAAGTTCGCCTGGCGAGTGAGGCCAGCGAACGTTCACCTGGCGAGTGATTCGTTCGCCTGGCGAATACACGATACCTCAGAGGGCGGTTTACTAACCTGAGGCACTTTGAAGTGCCAAGTTTTACTTGGTTCGCCTGGCGAAGGTCATGGTTCGCCTGGCGAATGTGCGCAGACAACACATCTTTTGTACTTTGTTAGTTGCTTTATGTAGCTCATACTTGACATTTTTTGGAGATTATTTATCTTGGAACATTACAATAGAGCTGAAGAACCCTAAAAACATTAGTTCTTCTTCATTTTTACTGATTTTGTGCAATCAAGGAGAAGTGGAATCACATCCTTCATCGATTCTTCGAAGTGGATGTTCTTCATCTTCTCCATTTTCTTCTACTTCAAGCTACCATGAAAATGAGTAGCTAAGTTCATTTTGTTGTCAAGGTTAGATGTAGGTAATCATCTAACTTTGTATGTGTACGGATGATCTTCATTTGTAAACTCTTGGATGATTAATATATGTTGAAAACCTTGTTTCATTTACAATCTTTTGTGTTGGTTAATGATTGAGAAATATTTTCCAACTCTTGACCTAGGTTTTCATCCTTTTCTTTTCTTGAGCTAGAGATAGTCTTGGATGATTTTGTTCACTTAAACTGTTAAGCTTTAAAGTTGTCATTTTGATAGATTGTGTGAGAGATCAACAATGGATCAAAATGGTAAACATCACAATATGAGTTAGAGATAATCATATTGAGAGGATATTGTGAATGTGTTGATCATTAAAAAGAGTTTATGAAATGTTGATTGAAATTATGCATGCAAAGTGATTATCGAAACCTAACTTTGGCAATGTTTATTCAAACCGACAAACCCTAATTTTTTACCGTTGTTTATAACTTTGTATGCAAGATACCGACTTGAAAAACCAAACCCCTTTGATATTATAAAACTACGAATTTAACGACTGTCGAACGGCGGAAAAATCTTATATTCCCTGTGGAGACGATAATACAAACCTGACACTTTACCATTGTCCTAACACTTCCCGTGTCAATCAGAACTGTAACGGTGATGCCATAGAGGAAACCTTTAAACTTAAGGGTTTTGGGCAAAAACGCCCACTAACAGCTTGGGGAGAAAGTTGAAAATAGGTGTCCTCATTGTCCATCAGTGGCGTCGGGGAAACAGGAGAGTCTACTGTTTCTTGAGTGGGTTGGTCGTCCTCATCCTCCATTAGAATTAGGAACCTATCAGTTGAACATTTATGGCCCGGTATGAACTTTTCATCACAATTAAAACAGAGACCTTGAGCGCGGCGTTCTTGGAGTTGAGTTGGGGACAAGCAGGGGACAGGAAGTTTAGGGGGTTGGGATACGGGTGGGTTTTTTTGGATTGTGATGGGCGGGTTGACTGTAAGTGAGGTTGAAGGAAGTTTGTTGGCAGGATAAAAAGGGCTTTTTACGGTATTTGGGTTTTGATTCTTTTACTTTGGATTCAATAAGCTTAGCTAATCCAATAGCTTGTGAGATGGAAACGGGTTTATGAATAGCGAGCTCGTTTTGAATCTCCACTGCTAGCCCGAAAATAAAACAGTTTAGAATCGCATCTTGGGATAACCCCACAACTCGAGTGCCTAATTTTTCGAACATGGTTTGATAGTCCGCAACAGAACTGACCTGCCTCAATTTAAATAATTATGCCTGGTGATTAGCGTAAGTGGATGGGCCAAACCGCAGTTCCAACGCTTTAGTGAAGGAAGGCCAATCTTTCAAAAGCTGACTTTGATGCATCCATTTGAACCAGCATAGGGCTTCACCTTTCATATAAAATGACATAATGGATAATCTATTTTCAGGAGGTAAATGATAAAAGTCGAAAAATTGGTCGGCTTGAAACAGTCATTCCAAAGGGTTTGAGCCATCAAATAACAGGAATTCCAATTTAGGTGTACGGAAAGGGGAAAGAGGTGGAGTGGGTTGGGCTGGGTGAAAAGACATAGGTTGGAACAGAGGAAAGTTGTAGTTCTGGGAATAAGGAAAGGGGCTGGTTGGAATGGGGCTAGTTGGATTGGGATGAGGTGATGAGAAAAATCTGGGAATTTGAGTTGGTGTAGTATTTGTTGTTGTGGTAAAAATCGGTGGTTAGGAGTTAGAAAAAGACCCCGATTGTGGTTGAGGGTTGTAGGGATGTGGAAGTGTAGGTGAAATCTGAGGGTGAGTAATCGTAGGGCTGACGTGAGTTGTAGTGATAGGTGTTGAGCGTGATAACTCGAAAATACCTGAGGAAGATGCTGTCGTTGGTTGTGTAGTGACGGTAGGGTTTGCTTCCCGTTGGAGCACCAATTTGTTGAGCAGGTTCATGATATTGTCATACTTGGAATCTGAGAGTTGTTTCTCATTGTTCATACGGGTGTGAAGTTGCTTCAAATCTGCTGAAGTTTTATCAAACCGTTCATCCATTTGCTGTTGGATGAGGTTCATAGCATTATCAAAGTGTATATGGGCTGTTTGGACAGCCTCTTCAATGATATCTTTGGAGTTTAGGGGTTTAGGTTGAGGTGCCATGAATTCAAGGAAATGAAAGCACCAATGATAGAATAAGGATATTCCAACAATAGAATCAAAGGATTGATTTAGGGTTTTACCATAGGAGTTGCACAAAACATAAAAGGGATAAAAGAGAATAATAATAAAAACAACTGAATATTTTCTGCCTCCTCCAAGAATAAAAGAGTTTAAATACATCACTCAAATGGGCTTAAAACATAAATGGCCCAACTAAAAATACAGAAATAATTTAAGATAATAAAAAACTATTTCATCACATAGTCCTTCATCCAAAGTGGTTGGACCTTAACTTGTGTGGGCTTAGTATCATACAGAAATTTTTGTTAATCAAACGAAGTAAAGTCCTGTGTTGTTAGAGGACTCTGGTTTCTAACGACTAAGCCTTTTGATATTTCTTTCAATCCTACTATCAAGTTGTCTGGGACTGAAGAAACACCTTTGAATATCCATATTCATACAAAAGACTTATCGGAAGACTACGGTCTGGCATATTCTTTCAAGTTAAACACCTTACTCAATTTGTTTCTAATCCTCTTGTTCCTCATTTTACAATTGCCACAAGAATTCTCAAATATCTAAAATTTTCTCCTATCCTATATCTTTCCACTTCTTCTACTAGTGTATCCCAGTTTAATCTATGTTCAATCTATAGTCCAAGATGAAGGGGGTGTTAATGTATATAGTAGGATTAGTTTATAAGTTTGTTAGTACTGCTAGAACTAGTTAGTTATCCTAACTTTTGTACGAAGGCATGTATATATACTAGAGGATGGAGCTCTTGTCATGTAACTAGTTCATTCTTTTCATTCTTAAATTTTTATCTATCTCAATTATACAACATTGTCACCCTGTTATATATCTATTATTGCAAAACATATGATCAATTAAAGCCTTATCCAATATGTAACTTACACTTTCATGTCAATGCTAATTGCAGAAAATATGAACAATTAAAGTCTTACCTAACATGTAGCTTACACTTTCATGTCAATTAGCATACATAAGAGGGGAAAACAGACATAAGCTAAAAAAAAACTGGATAATTCACAGTAGATAGTGGGAGAAAGAATTTAAAGAAATACAAAAGCCTACCACTTGGCCATTGTAAAAAAAAGGAGGGAAAGTCATGTAGCTCAACATGTCAGAAAAAGAAGGTTTCTAATGGATTTCAAATGGAGTAGAGATGACAAAATTTCTGCTCTCTTTTCTAATTCCCAGGTAATCCAGCAACAGAAACAGCTCCATTATATGATTTCAATTTACATCTATAAAATGGAAACTGCTTTGAAGAAAATCTCATTGGGAGGGAGCTATAAAGAAAGCCTCATACGTTGATGTTCCCTCCTCTCATCACTTACTGTTGAACAATGGCTTTCTCTTTCTGCCATGCACCTTTTATATGGCACAAAGCCTTTCCCAAATGTTCTAAGTCTCACTGATTCACTTTGGCCAACAAGGTACTGCATATGATCACTTTTGGCTTGATCTTTCGATCTTTCATTGCTTTCTCCATCATTGATGGAACTAGTATTATTAGAACCAGCACAAGAAGATCCTTCCTTTTGAATTTCTTTATCTTCACATTCTCCGTGATTTGAATGTTGAAGTTTCTCCTCCGGTTCATTGTTAAAGGCTGAACTGTGGGAAAGAGTCCACCAAGGAACAACAGTTGCAACACCAATATCTGAACTTCCACACTTAAATTGCTGCGTACAATGCACAGTAGGTATTGGTTTGGATGCGTTCGTTGATGTAGAAGAAGGATGACAGGTGTCTTTTACTAGTAGGGTTGCTCCAAAAAGTTTGAGAGTTCGACAAGGTGATTCTTCTGTTGTTTCGTCATTGGTAGCAACACATTCTTTCGGGAAAAGCTCCGGTTTCTACACATTAAGATCAAACATAAGAACATAAAACCACAATAGACCTTAAAAATATTACCATAGTGATATAGATATCGAGGTTTGAAATCGTAGTTGCATGACAAATTTTGATATTGCAAAGAATAACAGTCAAATACACGCAGGTGCAACTCTAATCATGCAGACATCAAAAACTATGATGTTTCTTACATAATAGTGTTTGCAGAACATTTTTAAAACCTAATTGTAATTGAGAAAATGAAATAGGTTAGGATTTAAGAAATACCATTATAGGTTGTTCATCATGTGCTGAATCAGCATTCAGTTCATCTATTTGTAGAGACATATCTTCCTCAGATGATGAAGATTTGGTCTCAAGAAGTGGAAAGCTACTGGTGTGGACGGCACTAAGGGACGAGACAGGAGACAAACTTCTGGTTGGGGAATCCGAATCCGAGAAACCAAGTGTTTCTGAAGCAACTGCGGATAATACCGACTTGGGCGAGTTGTTTTCCTGACCAAAATCTAACGACGCAAGAGAATTAGACCTCAGTGGCTGTTCCAAGTTGGAGACTTCATTCTTTGGGATTTCTACAAGTTTACGAGGGTAAGGATGAATCGGCTTCCGCTTCGGCCGTGGAGGTGGAATTTCAATCGACTCCACCAATGTTGTATCATTCCCATTAGTGTCTCTATTGATCTGCAAATAAAGTCGAAATACAAGAGTTAATATTGAATTCAAGTTGAACTTCTCAAGTTTCAACCTCAAGGAAGTTTGCATTAAGCATCTCCTAGGGTCACTCATCAGAAAAATTTCACCTAATATATAGTTTATGGTGAATTATTCATAGGTATAGATGATTGACATTAGAATAAATCAATAAACCTTAGAAAAAAACTTCTGAGCATGACTTCGAATCTGCACAGCAGTCTTTGTGCCAACATGTTCTGTGGTGAAAATAAAGGATCCAAAAACTCAGACCAAATTTTCTGATTCATTCATAAATTCAACCTCTTCTGCAAGAAGAATCTCTATGATATACTTATCTAAATTATGTAAATTCCAAACTATTAATACCTTCGATTTTTCGCCAGGCTCGGCCATACAGCTTTAAAGCTTCAAGGAACTTCTTATGTTCTTCATCTGTCCACTTCTCTCTCTGCTTTGTGATAGTATATGGTTTCCTTACCTAAAAAAAGTGTACAAAAATTTGATTAAACTAAAACATGTAACAGAAATAATCAAAGTTTATAAAATGAAAAATTTCACAAACCTTCAAAGCATGGTCATTTCCACATGAAAATTGATCAAGTAGTTTGTGTACATGTATAACAGAATCCATTCCGTCTTTTTGACCCTGCAAAATTCCAAATTATAAATATTTAGTTAAATTACATGCTACAATCACAAAGAAAATGAAAAAAAAAGAAGAAGTTATAATTGAAAATTTAAATGAACTTAAAATCATAAACAATAACCAAAAAAGATTTATTAGCCAAAAACCCCAGCCAGGTTTTTTTCATTGATAAAAATAAACTGTGCTGACTCAGCAGAGTTTCTTACATATCTAAGGCTTTGTTTGGCTAGCTATATTTCCAATTATAGAAATCTATGATATTTGGCATATGATAGATTAAATCAAATCACAATTTTTTCTCTTTTCTAAAAATAGGATCTAATAATCAAACACAAATCAGAGATACAATTATTTTAAAAAAAATACCATACACAAATAAAATCAAATAAAAATAAAAATCTCAATCTCAAGTTCTTCAATAAATTGAAATAATATTATACAAAAAGAAAACGCAGAAAAAAAGTTAGTTACATAATACATACCAGAATCGCCATGAAATCAGAACCAAATTTTCTTCAGAGACAAATAGTAAAGCGTATCTTCCTCTTCACAACTTTCAAAAAAGTTGAACAAAAAACAAAACCAAATATTCTTTCTTCTTCAGCAAAGAGATTTCGAACAAAAACCAGAAGATGAAAAAGTGAGAAAGAGAATAGTTGAGATTGGAAGAAGCATAGCAAGAAGAAAGTGTGGATAGAAAGATATAAAAAAGCCAAGTGAGAAAAAGACTATTGAAGGTGGAATATAAAAGGAGCAACCAAATAGTGACACGTCAGAATTAATTTTGTTTTCGACGAAGAAAAATATTTTTTTTTATTTTCTCTTTAATAGAAATGTCGAGAACTAAATGGCATCTTGTGGCTCACATAAAAAGAGCGCCTAAACACGTGGCGCTAGGATACTTCATCTATTTTAGTGTTTTAAAATCGAACTCGAGATCTAACCGTTAAAATATTTGTTCGACTGAATCTAACGGTGTTAAAATAATATTAAATTTTTTATTTATATTATCTGTTGTTGCGTTTTGTGATTGGGTGGACGGAAAATAATACAATACACAGCTCATTGTGGATAATTTGAGAAAGAAAAGAACACTCGCGGCGAAAAATGTGGCAACGCTACTCGCAACCTAATAAAGTTCCAAATTAATGCGTGGCCACTATTTTCCCAACTACTGTGTAGATAAGTGCTTTTTAATGTGGTTTTTGACTTTTTTGAAGAAATTTTCTTGTTGGTTCTTTTTCAATATTATTTGTTTATTTATTTGTACCACGTATTTTTTGTGTATTAAATTGGTCATGGTCAAATTATATAATATATGAGTGACTTATCTTTTAAAATATTAAATTTCTATTAAAAATAATATATTTTTTTATAATGAAAAAGAACTAATTACTTTTTCAATAATTGGATTTTTATATATAATGCAATACGTATGTTAAGTTGATATTCTTTATTATACATTGTATCAAATCTTGGGAGAAAATCCACCTTTAGATATGGTAATGACTACATCATTTTTAATAACTATTGTACTTCTTTCATTTCCATTGTGTAGTATATTCACGTTTTTTATGAATTTGATAAAATTGACGATAATGTTAAAAATTTTAGCATCTAAAGAGGAGAAAATGAATATAAATAAAAAAGTTTTGATAAGTTAAAGGTAAATTTTTTTTTTCCATAAAATTGGTTATTTCATTAGGGATTATTTTAAGAAGAGAGACAATAATGATTTTGTTTATATTGTAGTTGTCTCTGATGAGGATAGTTACGAGAGTATTGTTGTTTCAGGCTACTCTTATCATATGTCTTTAAAAAAAGAATACTTTAAGACTTTGAAATTGGAGTAAGGTGGAGTAGTTCACCTTGATGACAATAAGACTTGCAAGGTTCTTCGTATTGGTACCGTCAGACTTAAACTGTTTGAAGATCGTGAGTTTATTCTTCACAATATAAGGTATGTTCTAAGGCTTAATCGAGCTTTGTCATCTATAGGCATATTTGATGATTCAGTCTATTGCACTAGAATTAACCATGGGATGTTGAAGATTTAACATGGTGAAGTGATCATATCTAGAAGGTCTAAAAAATATGGTCTATTTATTTTAGAAGGTTCCAATATTGTTGTTCATTCTTCATCAGTTAGTGAAGACTTCCATAACAAGAACAAGGTATGAAATTCGAGCTCAAGGCATGGTGGATTTTTGGAGGTTGTTTCATAGCACTTTAATAAGTTTTACAGAAGACAAAGGATAAAACGCATGTAACCGCTTAAGTGTCATTCGGTTTCTGGGGTAAGACTAGTGCCAAAGCATCTTACCTAGTTGGAAGGTGTTCATTTACATGAATAGAATTTCAAACACTTATGAGAGTTTGGAGTAGAAAGAGTGTAAACCATTATGTTTTGAAAGTCATCAAAACTTTGCTTATTTGACAAATCAAGCTAATTCAACTTTATGGTATAGTTGTGTATTATGTCCTCAATGGATATCCAAGAGGTAGGAAAGGCTATGAGTTGTTAGGAGTGGAACCTTGAGGATTGAAGTTAATCATTCGCAGATGTATTACTTTCATTGAGTCTCGTTAGAGGAATAATAGTAAAGACACAGGGATGAAACTTTTAGAAACTATAGCAAAGAATAATCGGGTTGAGATAGAGATTCATACTATGGATACTAGAAGTATTGAGGAGGGAGATTGTAAGGTAAGGAGGGAGATTGTACCATCTCAAAGGAACAGTTATGTAGAATTTGGGTTTTATGCTTTAAATGTAGCTTAAGGGTTGCAATACTTAAAAACAATGACCTTCAAAGAGGCATTCAAAGTAGGCAAGATCATAAATGGTTGAAAAACCATACTTAGGGGATTATTTGACTACGAAAGCAGAAAAAGGTGTTTGAGAGAAAGTTGATGCAAGTGGCAAGATTAAGTTTCAAGCATGGCTTAAACATGTTCAATATTGTTGAATAATGATTCAACATGATAGAGAGAAACAAAGTGATTGATAGTTAAATTATCATCACTAAAGTATCAAGTCAAGGTGGAGATTGTTGAAACAAAATCTCTTGGTTGGAAAAAATTCTCTTAGTTGGAACAAATAACTTATTTGAAATTTGAAAAGATTTGTTGTTCTCTAAGAATCCATTGTCAAAATTTGAATTTGTTTAAACAAATTATTTTAATATTTTGTGTAAACAATATGATTTTAAATATAAAAAAAAAAGTGTTTTCCCCTTGATTTTTTTTATAGAAACCGGGAGGTATATGACCTTTGGGATGAAACATATTTTATTGTATTTTTTATCTAAAAAGAAACACATTTTACCTAGATTTTGAGTAATAACCGAGGTAAAATATATGCGAGTTTATTTTGTTTTTCACCTTTCTTAAATAAATCTTTGTTGTTCATTTAATGAGTATCAATGCTCAACACATTGTCATTAATGATCCGCGTGAAATCTAAAACACTTATTATAAAAGCATTCTGAATATTAAAATTTGAGAATGAAACATTTGACATGAAAACTTTAAAACTTAAAAAAAATGTTTATTTTATTTGAGAAAATTTCTCTAAGATAGATCGTAAGAGTATAAAATTATTTGTTTGAAGGTTTGTGTTCTTAAATTATCATATAACTGAATATTTATTTTATTTATCTAACTTTTTGTTTATATTATATCAGACATTTGATCTTCCTCAATATCATTGAAACGATGATCCCCAATATTTATTCATCACTGAAATATTCAGCATTTGTTCTTTACCGACAACGACAACGGTGAGTCGAACTCAACATTTTTGCTTTAATATTATATGTAAACAGTGTAATATTTTGTCTAAACAATGTAGTTTGTAAACAAATTAATTTATTAGTATTTTGTGTAAATAGTGTAATGAGTATATATATATATATATATATATATATATATATATATATATATATATATATATATATATATATATATATATATATATATATATATATATATATATATATATATATATATATATATATATATATATATATATATATATATATATATATATATATATATATATATATATATATATACTCATTACACTATTTACACAAAATACTAATAAATTATATATATATATATATATATATATATATATATATATATATATATATATATATATATATATATATATATATATATATATATATATATATATATATATATACATCGTTTTCTTTAATAAACTGTGAGTTATGTGGTGTTAGTTTCAAAAATATTAAAAAGTTATTACTGGAGATCGAACCAATGACAATTTAAACTATCCCCTCGGTTATTCTAGAACCAAGGGGTAAAGTGACAGATTCTCGTGATTCCCTTCATTACATCGCTTATGTAATTGAGGTTAAATCAACTTCATGTCTGAGGTTACATGTATTTTTTGTAGTAGTGAATGAAACACATTGAAAATTAAATTAATCAATGCAAAGAGACAAAATGCGAAAATACACTTTTGTATTTCTAGAAAATCAAAATTTGAACAAATATAAAAGTGCACTTTTTTGATTAAAAACATGTTTCAAATGTACATTTATATAAGTTATAGGAAGATGAATTTCTGTATTATTTTATGACCAAAATTAGAGGTTAATTCACTTATAAATGGATTGTGTATGAATTGGAATGACATTCAAAAAGAAATTTTCGATGTTTAGAGGTAGTTTTAATTTTTTTTAAAGATATGAAAACAATCTCTAAAATAAAAATATTAATCTCTTTTAAAATCTTCTCTTTTTATTTAGTTGAATCTCAGTTAAAGATCACTTTGATTGTAATCGTTATTTGATTAATAAAATATCTTTATTAAAAGAAAAAGGTCCAAAAATAACCTTTTTCGTCCCTTAACTTTATCTCAGGGTCCATGTTGGTCCCTTATCTTTAAAAAGTGGCAAGTTGGTCCTTTAACTTTTAAAATGGTGTCACGTTTATCCTTCTGTGTGTTGCCGTTAGTCAAACTTTGAAAAAATTGTCAAGTTTGTCCAGGTGGAGCTGCTGACGTGCCATGTTTGTCCAGGTGAAGCTGCTGACGTGAATATGAAGTGTCTTAGAGGAAGAAAAACAATTCTAACGGTTCCATTACCCACCATTACCCAGACCAGATGAAGGCACGACAAGGTGGAGCTGCTTGAAGAAGTGTAATCATATCTTGGAGTTTTGGAGAATTCATTGAGTCATTGAAGACGATTCAAGGTTTGCAGACGCGAAGGATTGAGGGTTTTCTGATTTAGGATTTTCTGATTGAGGATTGAAGACGATTCAAGAGACATAATCAAAAGGTTAGTTCATTTCTCTCTAATTTAGGGTTTTTTGACACAATTGACAGTTATAATTGGTTTTCTGTAATTCTGCTTATGCATCTTCTTTACCCGTTCTTTTCTCTGTCATGTTTATACTGTTACACATGTATCAATGGTTTTAAAATCCAGCTAAATTTTAGATATCATATAAGTGT